TCATAGGAAAGCCTAGACCCACCCCAGAGCCACCAGCTACCGTGGGGCCAGTGCCACCAATCCCAAAGGGTCTATGAAGTACACAGGGTTCTTGCAAGAAGCCCTGAGCCCATGTCTAAGAGCACAGAGATCACTTCCGTGTGACTTTTCCAGAGACCCCTGGGTGTCCAGGAGGAAGAAGAAATGGAGCAAGACCCCATACATATGCTCTGTCATACAAACAACCTAACTGGGCCTCCCTCCTAAGATTAAGGGCCCCCAGTGGTTGTGGAGGAAGTGACCATAGGGCAATTGTCACTGGTGCTTTCCTCTCTCCCTACTGAGGCCACTCAACATGCCTCTGGCCCTGAAGGGGCTCTTCTGGGTTTGGAAAGAGAGGAACAGGTATCTTCCTTCTGGCAACAAGCCAGGCCCCCTCTTGGCCTTGGATTCATAGCTGGTATAGAGGACAGTAAGAAGAGGGGTGTGTGTGTGTGTGCGTGTGTGTGTGTGCATTTTATGATGCTTGCCATTCTCACCACAACTCGATGGAAGAACCATCATTATCCCCATTTCACACTTGAGAAAGTAGAAGTACAAAGATTTAAGTAATTTGCCCAACAGCTAAGTGAGAGACCCAAGACTGGAACTCATGACTTGATTTCAGAGTTAGTGCTCTTGATTCACCATCATCTTCTGTCCCAGAGCCTCTGTTTGCTCATTCATAAAATGGGTGTGATTGCAAAACATACCTCATAGGTTTATTGCAAGTTACATGAAACAATGCAAAGTAAAGTGCCTTGTGTGAGACTGTCAGTTGCTGTCATTCCCAGACAAGATTAAATGTCGGCGGGTAACAAATGGGAGGGGCCATCTCCTTCCAGGCTTTTTGATAAAGGCCAGGAAGACAGCTGGGTGAGATCGGGCTCTGTTCCCCAATCTCACTTAGTCAGCCACGGGGAGCTGAGAGCCAGCCCTCCTCCCTACCCGGAGTGCTGGGAAAATCACATTTGTGTGAGAAGCTGAGACATGCTAATCCATCACTTTTGTCATTTGTGCTAAAATATAATAAGATGAGCTGGTCTTACCTGGTTTAAGACCACAGCTCTGTGTGTGCTGCCAGTTGGCTCATTCTTGCATCTTCCTTCACTCCTGTGTTTTGATCAAAGACCTGGAAATGACAGCGGTGCACTCTTCGAAGAGCTTTTAAACCTCTCTCTCTCTCTCTCTCTCTCTCTCTCTCTCTCTCTCTCTCTCTCTTTCTCTCTCTCCTCGCAGCAGGTGGGTATAATTATCCAGGCCTATTTTACAGATGAAAAGACTGAGGTTCAGAGGAGCTAAGCGACTTGCCCAAGAGAGAAGAAGAGAAAAGAGGAGCAGAGGGCTTGGCCAGCCCCTCCCTGGTACACTGAGTGCCTAAGTAACTAGGCATGGGCTGGGTGGGTAGCCTGCCACTGCCCCCGGGCAGGAACTCAGGCCAGCCTTGGTGGGAAGCAGAGAAAGCCTTCCTCCTGGGTTGGAGGAAGGGGGGGTGGGGGGATAGGGAGGCTGGAACAGAGGACGCAGGGCAAGGGTGTGTGAGTGTTTCTCATGGGCCACACCGAGAAAGCTGACCTAAGGCTATTTTGATCCCTGGACACAAGATGGGCCTCTCTCTGTTGGAGTTACATGACCACCCGCCCTCCTCTGGGCAGTCCTCCTGGGTGGCTTCCTCTAGTATAGCCACACTGGTATCCTTGCCCTGACACTGCTCCTTCCCTGTCCCGCTACCTCAGGCTGAACCAACCACAGCTTCTCAAGCTGCTCTCATGGTTTGGGCTTCTGAGCGGCCCACTCGAAGCTCTCTCTCTCTTTTCCCCCCTCCCCCACCCTTTTGGTAAGGAGGATGTACAGCTTGCTATTTTCAAAGAAATCCTCTCTCCAATCTCCCAACCTCTATATTTCAATCCCTTATTCCCTGAGGTAGGGGATGAGCTAAAAGTGGCAAAAGCATTTCCAGCCAACCCCTCCACAAGCCTTGCATCGATGACTTAGCACCTCAATCTGGAAAGAGGGGATGTTTTGCACTTATGATTTCATGCCCAACCTGTGGGGCTTAAGAATGAATCCCACTTGAGCTTCCTGTCCTAGGAGCTTAGGCAGCTGTAAGGCCTCTGGCCCTCCTGCCATTGTGTTCATCTTGGGCCCCAAGCTCTCCATGTCTTCTTCCCGGCCAGTGTAACTCGATTTCTATGCTATCCCCCAGCCATCCAACCCAAATGCATAAGAGAAGGCTCGAGTTGATATATTGATCTAGTTTTTTAAAGAGTCTGGACCAGCAGTCAGACAGCCTTGCTGTAGGCCTGTCTCTCTCACTAAAGGGCTGTGCAACCCTAAACAAGTCAGTTACCTTCTCTGGGCTTACATTTTGCAGCTCTAAAACAAAAAGTTTGAACTTGATGGTCCCTGAGGTCCTTCCAACACTGGGGTGCTGAATGGTCTGGGGAATGTACAAGGCCAGGGCCAGGCCAGTTCAAGGGCAGAGATGACGCCAAAACCCTTCTGGCAGTGCCTGACATTTCCACTCCTGTCAGCGAGCTGCTTTGTTTCAGGTGACAAGGTTGTCACAGGATCTGTCTCCTGCCTTAGGGAACAAGTAGGCCCCCAGTTCAGGATAGAGACACAACAAAAGGGCAGGCCCCTGAGCCTGGGGGGCCCCGGGTGATGTCAACCTCAGCAGGTCCAGGAAGCGGCATGCCCCAAATAGCCTTATCCCAGCATCTAAAATAGGCAGCAAATGGAATGGTTTCCAGGCTCCCCTTCAGCAAAAGATAAAAACATAATGGGCTCAGGGATGTCCCGTCATAAATCAATCAGCTGGGACTATTTCTGTCCTTATCCCTTGCTGGGGTCCCTCCTATGATCTCCATCCATTCTGTCCTCTCGTCCTGGTCTCCCAGCCACCTTAGCTCTGAAGTAGGAGACCGTTCACCCTTTGCCTTGGGATGGAGGTGCAGCAGCCTGGGCCGCCAGTGTGAGGATGCTACCCCTGCCTACAGGTGCACAGATAGGCATTCAGGTGCCTCCACCAGCCTCTGTGAGGCTGCCCCGCATGAGTCCACCCCGACAGGCCGATCAAGTCCCATCCACGCCAGGGTTCCGGGTGTCTTGGCAGTCCGTGGGCTGGGGTGGTGTCCCAGGAGTAAACGTCCCCGAGGAAGCCCTCTGCCTGGCTGTCGGGCTTCTCCATCATGTCATTACAGAGGTGAAAGGCCCACCTCTTAGGGCACTGGGAGGAATAAAGGAGACTCCACAAGTAAAGCACTATACTCAGCACCTGCCAAGTTGCCTACCCAGAATATAAGACTGGCCCCGCATCCCCCATTGTCAGGAGCCCAGACTTTCAGGACTGACCCATGGCCTCAGAGAGGTCCTTTGAGGAGATTTTTGCCCATCTGAAACCCTAAGTCAGCTGCAAATCCGGCTCTTGGAGAGACTTTTGAAGGCATGTGGTCTATTCTGAGAGATGAAGTCTGTTCCCTAGAAACTAACTACACATGCAATGCTGTGGGGCCTGCACACTACATTCTCATATGCTGTCCTCCACCACCCTCTGCAGGTTCCTGTGCAAAACTGCAGGCACCGTTGGCTGCATCCTTGAGACCAAGGATCTTCACTTTGTAGACAGACTTGAGGCAGTTCACTGACCAAGACAGCGGGAAGATAGCGCCTCAAGTCACAAAACACTTGCTCGTTTGGTTTTCATGACCCCTCTGCCTTGCCTCTGTTCCGAAGTTCCGAAGGGAATTCAGTCATTGTTCAGCCCTTCCGGCCGCACTAATAGCAGCGGACACATCGAAGTCTGGGGTATGCCCTAGAATATTCCGGGAAATCATTTGAAACAGACAAATACTGGTTGCATTTCTAAAGCTCTTTAGTTTGAATCACACTGTCTAGAATACTCTGAGGAAGGGAAGTGTGTAGGAAAAGTGTGTGTGTGTGTGTGTGTGTGTGTGAGAGAGAGAGAGAGAGAGAGAGAGAGAGAGAGAGAGAGAGAGCATTCTCCAGAAATGAAGGCTGGCTAAGATATAGCAGTTGGTGCGGTTATGACTAGAGAAAGAGAGAGAGAGAGAGAGAGAGCAGTCTCCAGAAATGAAGGCTGGCTAAGATATGGCAGACACTAGTTGGTGTGGTTATGATGATTACTAAGCATTTCTTATATGCCAGTCAGCTAACAGTCTCGTTTATTAGTGACATCAAGCTCCAGCCTCAACTGCATGGTTCCACTATCTTTTCATGGCCAGAAACTTGAACGCTGTCTGGCAGAAGGTGGGTATTTTATACAATGAACGCACTTGACAATGTCACATCGTCCACCTAGTGCCACAGGGTGATGAAATCACCAGTGAGAGAAGCCACAGGGATGTCTGCTTTCTCTTGTTCTCTTTGCCAGCCTTAGGTAGGGTCTTAGCAGAGTTCTATTGTGCCCATAGAAAGGGAGCCAAGTCGTTGGCACCTGCAGGTTCCTTATATCAGTGGAGTTTCCAGGTCACATATTTAGAGACGGTTAGAGCTGGAGAAGACCTTGGAGATTATTCCAGTCCAGTCCTTTCATTTTGCAGTAAAATAGCACATGCCTGGTTACAGGCTGGATCCCCAGTAGGGGGCGTGCAGGAGGCAGCCAATCAATGATTCTCACCATTGATGTTTCTCTCTCCCCCTCTGAAATCAATAAAAATATTTTTTAAAAAATGAAGTGCAGAAAATGGAAATGACATTCCAAGGTAAAGACAGAGACAAAGCTGGGATGAGAACCCCAGCTCCTTGACTGTTTTTCTTCTGGCTGATCTTGATATTTTTATATATCATTTCTGGGTGGAAAGTACTCTGGCTTCATGGGAAGATTTTTCTAACTGATCTTTTTAATACACAAAGGGGAAGAGAAGAAACTCACCACATAGTAGGCACTCAATAATTGGGTTTGTTGGTTTGGGTGTTACGGAGTAATCTTACTTTATGCAACTTAACAAAATTAGACCAAATTAACCTTGAATTTGTTTCATTCTTTATTCTCTCCGATGACCCAAAGGTGGTTAGAGGCTTGAATCTCACCACATTGTCCCATTAAAATTTTTTAGGTATGGATCTGAGGTGATAATATGATGTTCATTGGCTCGAAGGAAAGGCTGCCTGAGGAAGGCACGTGGATTTAACGTAGCTTTCGTTCAAGCTTCTGGAGGTTTGTGGGATCCCAGAAGGACAGACGCTGTCAGCACCTGAGGTTATATAGTCTGTCCAATGAGTTGGGACATAGCACACACACTTCCTGAATCTATTTAACCATATACATGATTAAAACAGACCTGAAAGGACCCTTCATTGCCTAATAACTACTTGGGCCTTGAGCCTAATAGGTCTGAATTTGCTTATCATTGTGTTTACAAATCACATTTTTTTATCAGAATCTTCCCATGCATTCAGTGTTCTGCGTTGTCAGCCTGCAGTTTTCATAGATTCGTGTTCTTCAGGGCATGCTCCACGCTTCACATGAGAAGAGTCCCCTGGGGGCTTTCTCTTCAGACCCTCCGAGACCAGGGTTTATAGTTTCCTGGTACATCAGTGACACTCTAGAAAGGAACAACAGAGAACTCACTGCCAGGGTCTTCCCATAGCGCATGCCCCCCTCACCCTCTGTACATGCCACCTCCCACCGCGGCCAGCCACCATGCTAAGCCCAAACACCACTCTGCAGTCCCAGCTGCTGGTGATGCCCCCCGGCAGGACCCCTTAACTTCCTAGTCATTCATTTCTTCCTACTGAGCACTTTTCATGTGGCAGGCACTCTAGGAGGCTCTGGAGGTACAGGGATGACCAAATTCAGAAGTAGTCCCTTCTAGGACACATTCTCAGTTCTTCAAAAGCATAGAACCAGCTGCTCAGACTTTAAATCACTGGTGTGTTTTAACACAGCAAAGGGGCTCATTAAGTCATGGAGTTGGGCATCAGATTGTTTACAAGGAGCTAACTCAGCAACCTGTGCGGTTTATAGAGAGCCATGCAGCACTTCCCCTCTCGGGGAATGGGGTTTGGGGACCTGTCAGCACTGGGCCATGGTGGAAGGTACCGGGCTGTGTGAAGGTTGCTGCACAGCTGTGGGCATCCTTCCTGCCTGATAGCTCCCGCCCCACAGCTAACGCTATTGGCAGACCTGAAGGATGACCAGACTAGAGATGCATCCGGCTCCCTTCCTCTCAGTGCTGAGATCTGGGATGGCAGAGGTGCCTGCCCGAGGGGCTCTCCTGTCCCCTCCCTATCCCTGGAACACTTTGGCTCCATAAGTACCTACTTCACCTCTAAACCCAAAGGGTCTATCAAATTTCACACCAAATAGCCCAGGAATACAACTTAGGATAGGGAAGAACCTGGTTCTGCTACCTCAACAGAGGCTGCCATTGCAAACTCAGAGCCCAGGCTGCTTCGGAGGGTCTAACAGGAGAAGACACTATCCTAGCCTAGCCTCCTGTTACCAGGCATTGTCCACTATGAGTACCACATAGGGCCGTCCCCAAATGATCCCAACGTCCACGGAATTCCTGTTCTATTCTGCTACAAACATCTCCAAGGTGGTAACCCACATAATGAGATCATGTGGCTTCCTGAAAGGCTGCAAAGTCTTCAAGGGCACCCGTGTGTCCCCAGTATCTGTATGGCACATGGTAATCACAGAACAACTGTGGGTCATCTGATTATTTAACTCGTTCTTCTTTTTCTCTCCATCTCTTTTGTACCTCACACAGTGTTTTTAACAAAGAAGGGTCTCAAAACACATGCTAGTGGTGGACACTAACAATTAGGCTCTTCGGGAGCTTTAGCTATCACCCTCATCTTCATGGAAAATAATGAAATCCATGGGTGTATAGACTGCCCTCCTTTTTCTAAGGAGGCCCCACTACAAGCTGCAGCTTTGATGGGAGTTATTGTTCTCTTCTTGCAAGTTCAAGGGCGTGCCTCAACCAGAGAGTGGAGGGTGGCCTTAACCAGTGTGTGGTTGTGTGGTTGAAAGAGAGCCTAATACCTCTGTCCCCTGGCAGAACTCGCCCCTGCAGTTCACGGGCCTGGCCTCCCCCAGACTGAGTGGGTGCTCCAGAGCCATCATACCAGGGTGGTGAACTTGTCCACGCAGGCATTGCGGATCTTCTCCGGGGTGGCAGGGCTGTCTAGCTGGAAGAGCGCCTTTGTATTATTGTCTGCATGCTGAGCTCGGGCTGCTCGGATGGCATCCTTGATGGCAAAGAAGATGGAGGCGGCCAGGAAGAGAGGCGGCTCCCCGACAGCCTAGAGGGGACAGAGTGGGGGACAGGAACTCAGGCCAAGAAGCCCCAGCCTCCACAGTAGGAGGGCCAGTGATGCTGGAACACCAGCTGCCAGCACTGACAGGCCTCAATCAATCAGGGCCCCAGAACAGTGACTCTAGTAAATGACTTGACCTTGTCAGCGTATTTCTTTGAATTCTTACTGTGTGATTCCTTGATGACACCATGCAAATATAATGTACCATGAAATGTAATATTAAATAGTCACAGTGTATAAACAAACAAAATCTGGCATGAGTTTTTAACCTTTCCTTGCAGTGATGAGCCTAGCGAAATAATCTACCTGCAACTCCAACCCCAACTGGCATCATAATTATACGTACAGCATCTACAGGAATATAGGCACCATGACAAACATGAATTAAAACACTTTCTAGCAGAGGTGGTTTTGTCCCCCAAAGCACAGATCAGAGACTGTGCATCAGAATTACTAGGGACACTTATTAAAAATGCATGTTCCAGGGCCCGAGCCCAGATCTACAGAATCAAAATTTCTAGGGGTGGGCCACCCAGAACTGCTTTTTTAAAATATTTTTTATTGATTTCAGAGAGGAAGAAAGAGGGAGAGAGAAATAGAAATATGAATGATGAGATACATAAGCACAGATCAGAGACTGTGCATCAGAATTACTAGGGACACTTATTAAAAATGCATGTTCCAGGGCCCGAGCCCAGATCTACAGAATCAAAATTTCTAGGGGTGGGCCACCCAGAACTGCTTTTTTAAAATAATTTTTATTGATTTCAGAGAGGAAGAAAGATGGAGAGAGAAATAGAAATATGGATGATGAGATACATTGATCATCTACCTCCTGCACACCCCACACTGGGGATCAAGCCCACAACCCCAGGCATGTGCCCTGACCAGGAATCGAACTGTGACCTCCTGGCTCATAGGTCAGTGCTCAGCCACTGAGCCACACCAGCTAGGCCAGAACTGCATTTTTATCATGAGCCAGTGGCAGGGGTTACAAAGTGTCTCAGATGCTCCCATGATGATGTAGCCATGAGATGAGCAAATGGGTGGGTTTCAGTGCTTTCAAATGATCAACTGTCTTCCTTAGATCTAGGACTAGATCAATCAGCTTGATCGATTTTCAACCATTTTTCCATATGTATTGGGGACAGGGAAGAAACAGAGGATGGTTATCATCCTTCAGGCATGCTGATCAAGTCTTAAGGTCAGGGGGCAGCCCCTGAAGGAGGTGATGGGGTGCATAGAAGCACTGCCCCATCTTCAGTGAATGTGCTGGTTCTTATAGGAGACAGTGGTACTGGATCTGTGAGATCGTGTCTAGGACCAAACCTCAAGGATGGACACCTGAGATGGGGGTGTAGGTCAGGGTTTGGCCTATAGGATTGAGTTAAGGAACTCCTTGCTACACGGAGGAGCTGTCATGTTCAATCCAGATCCCTGGTTCTCAGGCAGGACTGCCCGCCCCTCCACCACCATCGCCAAAGCCGGTGTCAAGCCCTCTTCTCAGATGAGCCACCTGCAGACCCACATGGGGGTGGAGGGGCCTGTCACCACCCGGGCCTCCCACAGTGCAGACAGGAAAGCAGCCCACAGGGCACCAGTACCTTGGATGCGTAGATGGCCTTCTTGTTGGGAGAGTCACGGAGCAGGGACACCCTGAACTCAGTGGGGATGTTGCCAAATGCCGGGATCTTGTAGGTGCTGGGGCCGCGGGTGAGCAGGTTGCCCTCGGGTGAGTAGTGCAGCTCCTCCAGTGTGAAGAGGCCCAGACCCTGGACAAATGCGCCTTCCACCTGCAGGGCAGACGGACACCGTGGACACACTGCCTCCCCATTCCCCAGGGACAGGTACTGCTTCCACCATGGGCACCAGGCCACCCAGAGCGGGGCCTGGAATGAAGCTGGAAACAGCCCTGCTCTGCTTACCTGGCCCCTCACCACCCGGGACAACCTCTCCAGGCCTTCGCCAGGCATTGGCACTGAAGGTCCGTTTTAGAACTCGTTGGTGATTCCGAAGGCCCATGCGGTGGTAGCATAATTTCCCATTAAAACCTGCCGCAGGGCAGTGCACATGTTCCTCCCGTGTCACCACTGGGGAGACAGTCACTCCGCACTGAGGCAAGAGCTCACAGGCTAATGGGTGCTGAGTGCCCCCAGGGGCCGCGCTCCTGTGGGACCCTGCCCTTCTGAGCAGCCCCAGGAGAGAGGAGAAGCTTTTTAATAGTAGATTGCAGGCTTTCTGAACCCCCAGCCCTGCCTGCCCTCTGGGAAATTGAGTGCCTCTGCGCTAGGTCTGTTTGGGGGCACCTGCCTCGCTCTCACAATCGGATAGGTGGTGCCATGTAGCCAAACAAGAGTGTTTAGGGGAGACCAGGTGCTAATCATCTTTGTGTCTGCAGTACCCAGCTCAGCGCCTGTGCACAGTTGTTCAATGAATGAAAGAACTGATTGGACTAGCGGTGACGTTTCTGTATACTCAGTAATTGTCCATTCTAGAGAGATATTCATCACATTTTCTACCAGGTGCTCAGTACTTCCGGGCCTGATTCCTCCTTCAGTCTCCTCCTGTTCCACCTGCTCTGTCCAATACTCTTATATTTCCTGAAAGTGCTTTTCTTTGGCCAGCCCTTTACCCCTCTTGCTCGAACCCAGGCTTCGGCACATTGTTGTCCTGGGTGAAGTTTGTCTTTGGTTTGTATTATAATTGAGTTGTTTCTCTTCTTTTCCCCCCTTAGTACTGAAGTTTTGCAAACATCTTACCTTATGGTCCCCTGTTAAGCAGTCAATTTCCACTTCCGAGCAAGCCACCCCGTAGGTGAAGTAGTGGAAGGGAGAGAAAGGAGGAGGGGAAAGCTCGCTGAA